AGGAGCCGGCGCCGGCGCAGGGAGGGGAGGAAGAGACGCGAACCGGTCTCGGTGAAGGAAAATCTCACCCAGCGGCACCTCTTGCCTCGCTGTGCCCTCCAAGGTGGGCAGAAAAGCAGCAATAAGGGGCGGCTTTCATCCTCCCCGCAAGCGGCCCCCGGCAAGCGGCACCGAGGGGAAAGTTGCCACAAGGTCGTTAGGCGAAGTCCTCCGGGTCCCCGGTGAGGGATGCTCCGGCAGAGCCGCTGCTCCGGCATCGGGAGAAAGCAGCTTCGAGGGCAGAGATCTGGAGAGGAGGAACACGAGAACCCCAAACCGGATCATTTCTTGGGAAAAAATAAGGGGTGAGGACGAGCGGAGCAGGAGAAGCAGGTTGCCTTCTCCCCTGCCTAAGGGATGGGGGCCAAGCCTCCTTCCTGGCGTCTCCTCCAGCGGCCGGTCCCACGGATGCTCCGTGGTGCTGAGGGCTCCAAACGCCTTCACCGGGACCTGGGCCGGGGTTTGCCAAGGCCGGGCAGGAGGACGCGGCCCTTCCTCAGCCATGAAGCAGCAGCGTGTGTAAGGCACCTGGGGAAAGGAGAGAGCGTCTTTTCCATCGAAGCCCTCAGGAGAGGCTGTAATGCTTCTCCCGCACAGGACGGGGCAGGATTTGGCCAAAGCCGGCTCTGGCGGTGCCCTTGCTGAAGCCGTATAGAGAAGCTGCTGCGATGGGAAGCTGGAGAAGGCCAAAACATCCCCGTCACCGCTGAAGAATGTGCCTGCTGCCATGCAAAGGTGGAGGAGATTCACCTCCCGGCAGCAAAACCCCCGGGCAGACTTAGCCCCAGCTGGATGGAGCCTCGTCCTCCCGAGGATGCTCCTGCACCGAACTAAAAACTGCTTTAAACCTGGAGCTTTTCCTTTTCCCTGCTCCTTTCCGAAGCTACGGGTAACGGCCGGGGGCTGTGGTCCAGCGAGAGGATCCGGCAGCGCGGTCTGGATGATGGGAACGACGGCTGGACACCCTCGCTGAGCACCTTCCAGCAGCCGGACCGCAGGGCTGCCAGGTTTCCCCGGCTCATTTTCCCAGCGCCATCACCGTAATCTTTCATTTCTGAACATCCCAGAAGCTGCCAGGAGGGATCGAAGCATCGTCCTGCCCAGAGCTGCTTAACGCCGCTCCCTATCCTGAGCACCATCTGGATTGATCCGGGGCGCTGGCACCGCGGCACGGGGGGGTTTTGGATGGGCAAGAGGGA